TCTGGCGCAGTGGCTGGAGGATGCTGGGCCAGCGCAGATAAGGGCCTGGCCGCCTGGCCCAGACTGATAAGGAGCCAGGCTGACCCCGGAGGAAACCAGCGGGCCGGGATCTCCAAGATCGGCCTCTCGCCCCGCCCCGGCCAGTGGGCAGGACTGTCAGTGACCCCTCAGGGCTTCACCTTCCGTCCTCTCAGTCACTGGAAGGACCCTGGCCCTCTGAGGACCAGCCCCAGTGCACAGCTACACACAGAGGGGAAATTGAGGCAGGAAAGCAGTGGCCTCCTGTGTTGGTTGGATCTGGCCTGTGGCTTTGAACACCCCAGCTGTGTCCGTGCTTGTTGGGGGTGGGGAGCCCTTTCCGGCCCTGCTGGGGCTCGTGACTGGGGGCCCCCTTCTTCTTCTCTCCTCCCCCTGCCTGGTTCCTCTTTTTACAGAGCCCCTCCCAGCCTTTCTGCCACCCCCACCCTGGAGGGAGGCATGGCTGAGGGCAGTTCTGACACTCCGATCTTGGGTGTCCAGCCTGGGTGGTTGTCCTGGCCCCCCCTGTGCTATCACTCCACCTTTCAAGGTGACAGGAAAGGCTACAGCTGGGGGAGATTTCCTATATTGCTAGAACCTTCCAGTAGGTGCCCAGGAAGTCCCCACAATCCTAGTCCTCTAGGTCATAGGATAGCATAATCCCAGCTCGGTGGTCCCTGGCCCTCATCCCAGAGCCAGGCCACTGCAGGGTGAATGGTGATGGAGGTGTTGGGAGAATGTCCTGGGTGGTGAGGGGTAGCAGTGACAAGGCTGTTCCAGCACCCGCTCACCTGGGTCAGTTGTGCTTTGTCTATCTAGGTGGCTGCATGAGCCCCCAGGCAGGCCCTCAGCTGTCACCTTCCAGGAACCAGGTGATTTCAGGACCCCACCACCAATCATCCCACTTTCCCCAGGAAGCAAGGGTTCACTTCTAAGCTCCCAGTGAACTTCGATGTGCCCACAAGGCCAGTTCTGGGATCAGGTTCATTTAACTCTTGAGATGGAGCAAGGTGCAGGGTGCCTGCGGGTCCCACAGCTACTGTGTGGCAGGGTGGGGGCTTTGCCCCAGGCCTCGCTGTTAACGTTGCTAAGGCCTGCCCTTGTGGGGAGGATGCAGGAGCCTGCCTGGTGCCTCTATGTGCACCCCCCCCCGCCCCCCCGCCTCGAGGGGCCACAGGGCAGGAAACACCTGGTCTGGAGCGGATGCACAAGGAGCCTGGTTCCGGTCTGGCTTCCGCCACCACGGCCCTGCGGGGAGCTGGGCCAGAGAAACCAGGCAGCCAGGGCTGGCGGCGAGAGGCCACGTGGGAGCTTGGTGGCACCGGCGTGTGCGCGCGCCTATATTCCCGAGCACGCCAGTGGAGGGGGTGTGGGGGAAGGCCCCGTGGGTACGGGCGCACGGCTGCCACCCCGTGGCCGCTTGGGGAAAAGCAAGCGCCAGCAACCGGGCGCCTAAGTGCTTCTTGCTGTAGAGCAATGGTTCTCAACCTTCCTAATGCCGCGACCCTTTAATACAGTTTCTCATGTTGTGCTGACCCCAAACCATAAAATTATTTTCGTTGCTACTTCATAACTGTAATTTTGCTACTTTTATGAATCCCAATGTAGCTATCTGATATGCAGGAGTACGTGTTTTCTGATGGTCTTAGGCGACCCCTGTGAAAGGGTCATTCGACCACAAAGGGGTCGCGACCCACAGGTTGAGAACCACTGCTGTAGAGGAACAGACCACTCCCCACACAGACAGAATGCCTCAGACAGAAACACTGACACCACCTCCCTCAGTCAGGCAGGGACACACCAACCTCTAGATGCAGAGCTCCTCCCCCAGGGAGTTAATTCAGATGGACAGAGGAACAGGCCCCAGACATGCTAGACAGACAGACCACCAGCAGCTTCTGCACTCAGACAAATGACAGTCAGGGCAAGGTGAAATCTCTTTATTGGCTCAATCTACACCTGGACCAGAGGTGGCCCCAGACCCAGGGGGCTTCTGGTTGGGGGTCTGTGGACAGTCGGTGGGGGCAGCTTCAGCAGTGGCCTCAGGTGTCAGGGGTCTGTGGGAGTAACAGCACTGGTCACCCCGCTGGCAGGTGCCCTGGTGGAAAGATGATGGATATGAATGAAGCCCAGCAGCCTCTGCTGGGTTCCTTTCCTGGATGGGGCGCTCACTCGCATACACTTGCCCAGCCGGTTTTCCCATCCCTCCCTGCCCCTTACCCTTGCCCTATTGCCACAAGGGGGACCCATGTGTACTGCAGTTGGAGGTGGGGGGTGCCTCACCTTCTTAAACCTCTTGCAAGGAAACGTCTTAAGCCGTGCAGCCCGCTGGGCCAGGTCCTCAGCTGGCTCCTTTCTCTTATTCTGGAGCAATCTGCGTCTGTCCTCCATAGCTTCGCCCACTGCCTTACCCCTGTGCAGGGAGATGAGCAGGTGGGACCCCATCAGGCCTCTGCACCCCAGGCCCTGGCCAAATCCCACTGCCATCACTCTCACTCACCCTGGCCGGGCACGGGGCCGGGGGCCCCAGTTGGCCTCGGGGTTGGCCTGGAAGCGCTTGAGTCCTCGCTGGCGGGAGCTGGGGTTGGCATCATCCCGGATGGTGAAGTTGGCCTGTAGCCTGGAGAAGGGGGTGGTGCAGCTGAGGGGCAGCCACCCCTCGGACATGCACAACAAAACTGCCCATGGGGCCTGCCCGCCTTGGTGACTTGGGAAGGCACCTGCCTGGGTCAGGATTCTCTCATTTAATAAACATTTATTGTTGCCTGCAGTGTACCTGAAATCTGCCGCTGGTAAAGCTGACATTCAAGTGTACAAGACAAACAAGAATGGGACAAATCAGAAATCAGCAAGTTATGTTTCGTTAGGGCATGAGAAGAGTTTTGAAAAGAACAGAGCAGGGCAGAGGTTCTGGGGAGACTGAGGAAGGGGTTCAATGCAGGACAGGACAGAGTCAGGGACACCTGAAAGAGGTGAGGGAACAGTCCTGGGGGGCACTCAGGGACAGGCACTCCAGGTAGAGGGAACAGCCTGTGCAAAGGCCCTGAGATGGGGCTGTGCCTCATGAGCTTGAGAGAGGGGGCCAGTGTGGAGTGAGCCAGGGGGAAGTTGGAGGATAAGTGAGGGCTGGAAAGTGACACGGAAATGGGGCAGGGCTTGCAGGTGGAACTCTGTTTCTGCTGAGCAGAGGGGGACCATGATCTAACTCAGGTGCTCACAGGCGCCCTCTGGTAGCTGTGGGGGGAACAGTCTGTGGGGGGCGAGAGTGGAAGCTGGGGAACCAGGGCTGAGGTGACCACACTGGTCTATGTGAGCAGTGACGGGCCAGACTAGGGTGGGGGCAGAGGAGAAGCGGTAGAAGTGGGGGGAGAAGGTAGATTCTGGATCTCACTTGAAGAATGAACACGTATCTGTTAGGGAAGTGTCTGGGCTGTCTGCAAGCACGTGAGCGTCCACGCCTGTGGCAGAGATGTCCCTACCTGGGCTCCACACTGAGAATGCGGAAGGCCGGGCTGGTCTCAGACAGCCGCTCTCGTTTCACCGGGCACTGCTTCTCCTGGGAGGCAAAGGTCAGGGGCCAGGGGATGCCAAGCCTGCCCATGCCTTGCCCTCTTATCCCTATCTAGTCAGGCCAGCTCTTACCCAGCAGCGCATGATGTCCCAGAGGGCTGAGGCGGGGGCGTCCGTCTTCACAGCATTCTTACAGGCGTGGGAGAGCG